AAAGGGGTCAGTCCCGGTCAGGTCAGGACTTGTATCTAAGTCTTCCACTGCGCTATAAAAGCACCATTTTGTATGTATCGGAATGCACATTGCTTGTTGAGATTCTACTTGCACTGCATTGTCCATTCAGTCCTTTTTATCACATTGCGGATCCTCGGTTATTATGTACATCGCCCAACTGGGCATGTAACAATAATGTGTGGTGCCAAGGCACAACTTTTCTCGTTAGAAAATTTGGCATGCTTTATGACTTTGTTTCCCAGCCTGCCTGTCTGCCTGTCGATCTGTTTGTCTCTGTCTGTCTGTCTGTATGTATGCGTGTCTCTCTTCATCTGTCTGTACATTCACCTATCCGGCCGCCTCTCCATTCACCCAGATGGCTCTCTGCCGATCTCTGTTGAGACACTCAAATGGCCTGCCCTCCCATCCTTCCATTCTTGGCACAACATCTTATGTGTGAGACAGTGGGAACAGCAACAACAATTTGAAGTGGGTATGAAGACGAATGGGCTTGCCTGACAGTCAATCCTCTAGAAAGAGAGCAGTCAACTGTGTGGGGGCTTCCCCTGGCCGTTAAGCGTAGAGTGAATGTTCATATATTACCTTGATTTGCCGGTGCAAAAGGAACTGGACTGCTGCTCCCCAGAATAGAACAGAGTTGGGGGCATGAGGCCCTGTTGAGAAAACAGCAAAAACAATTTACAGTAACAAATGGAAACTGTCTTTTTTAACATCCTTTTATGTCTGCTTGTTTGTACTTTCTGAAGGTACGGCACCTTGCTGCGTGCGAGACAATGGGATCAGCAACAACAATTTGTAGTGACAAGACTGGAACATTAACAATGAATATGGTAGGTATGTATGGAAAGCAAAGGGAGTCTTCCACTGCAGCAGGGTGCAGGCTGAGGCTAAGGACCCGATTCAGTTTTTATCGGGAAATCCTTCCCCGCCCCACGACGGCCCCCACCACCCACCTCCCTTCCTCCTCTCCCATCACCACCACTCTCCTTCTATCAGGAACTTTGGAAAGGTTAAGAATTCAAATTTCTAGCGTGTTTTCTGTATGGCTTCTTCTGTGTCAAATACCCGCTGGGTATTTAGGAGATGTGTTGAATGTAGATAAAATGCAGGTGCAATAAACAGCAGCTTGCATGCAACAAATCCATTAATTGCCAACTCACTTCTCAGTGTTGCGAGAAGCGGTTCACAGAGCCCCAAAAAAATGGATCAAAGGGGCCTTAAACCCCAAGGCAAAAGTGTGTTTTCAACTTTTCAAAGTTTTCATGCAAAACTCGGTCTTGTGACTCTTTTCAGTTTTCAGGATTTTCAGGGCTGGCCAAAGCAGTCATCTCCAAGACCCCAACAAACACCTAACTCGGCACATGCAGACCTTGACCAAAATTAAAACAGGGCAAAAAAAAAAAAAAAAAACGCTGAAAAAAAATCCCAAAATGCTAGGCTGTTTTTCTGGGCGCCCGGGCACCCAACTTCTGCCCGGGTACACGCCTGGGTGCCCGGCTGGGCATGATCCCCGGGCAGGGTTCCAGGCAGCCCCAGCACCCAAAAAAAAAAAAAATAAAAAAAAAAAATTGAAAATTCCAGAAAAACACAAAGTTCTGTAGAACTGAAATACAAACGACTTTAGGCTGAGGGTCACATTATAATTCCTCACAGAATCAGAGTTAAAAAGGAAAATAAGTTTAAATAACAGAATCACACAAAGGCACCCCCCTTTAAAGTTTAAACCCCTTTAGCCCCTTCAAAACCAATTTATACCCCCCTTCCCCCCCCTAATCAGCCAACTCAAGAAAAACGAAATGAGCCCGGATTTGGGATCCTCTGGGAAGCGCAGAAAACCAAAAAAGATCTTCTTTTTTTTTTTGCACGCCCAGGTTACTCGGGCGTCAGACCCCCACGGGCATCACACCTGGGTGCCCGGCCGGGCGTGAGAATCTTCCTGGCCCAAATGCACTTTTCAGTGCTGGGGAGGTTAACCAGGGCTAAAAAGTTGGGGTCCCTGTTAATCGCTTGTGGATTTTGTTGGTCAGTACATATGTATGAAAACGAAGACTTGCATGGGGTATACTTCCTTTTTTTTTTCTTTTTTTTTTTTCTGGCTAATAAAGTAGTAGCTATATTCTTCGCTCAATATTCCTCTCACCACCTACCTAACCTCTAGGCCACTCAATCTCTTATGTACTGGTAACATCCCAAGGAAATTATAGGTCATGAGTTAGACCACTTGCCTATCTAAGCCTATCCTCTCAGGGCTGAACTTATCCCCTCAGGGTTGTTCCTAACCCTTAGCGACGGATGGAACACAACTATCCTTCCCAACCCACTAGTGGGGGCAAGCTAACTATCTCAGCTGGTGAACCCGCAGCGTCCCGCAGGAGGCCGTAGGGTTGGATTGGATGGCATGGGGAGTTGAACCCACGACCTCCTGAATGCAGCTTTCTTGTCTTGCATGGGGTATACTTCAATCCACAGGACAGAAAGCGTGTCAATCACATGCTAGCCGAATCTCAGGTGGGCAACCACAGTGTGGCATCGAGCAAGTTTCTTAGGTTTCCGCAGCCAGTATTCCTATCTATGCGCAGGCAATGATGGGCCCTGATCTGAAGTAAGGGTGATCCAATCTGTAACAGCACAACGCACTCGAGGTTGTTCATGTAAGAGTCTATTCTCTACCTCAGGCTGCTGTGTCTGTTGCATATCCCATTACAGCTGCAGCCTGACAATGCCCAGCGTTGCATCTGGGGCATGAACAGGGTGGATGTGGTGGGTCATGGCACCGGGGATAGTCTACACAGTAGAGGCACTAAGTTCATCTTCAAATATCAGGGAGCGGTCCAATCTTGCTTTGATGATATTGCTACAAGTTAGATCCTCAGTTAAGGGCGAAGTAGCGACATTCAAGTGGCAGCACTCACAAGCGGTTAACAGGGAACCCCACTTTTCAGCCTCTGTTAACCGCATCTCATAAAATCACAGACTGAGAAACATGCAGTTTTTTCGGTTTTGCCGCTTGTTTGGGCGACTTGCTGAGATTCCCGTATCCTGCTGAGATTTCTAAGTTTTTTTGTGTGCATGATTGCTGAGTTTCCGTGCGTTTGCCTGCCTGCATGATTGCATGGAGGTGTGTGTCACCCGTTGGGTTGCTTGTGTGCTGAGGAGGCCTATGCGCCTGATACTTACCTGTGGCCGTGTTGCGCTGCGGTTGCAGCGGGGTATTAGAGTAGGGTAACCTGCGTAGGCTGTAGGCAGAAAAAGACAAAGGTAGTACCTTTAGAGGCTGAGGTATATCTTAGAAGTCCAGTAGGCTTAGAGGCCAGGGGTATCGGTCCAGTAGTCTGAGACTCTGAGTTTAGAGCCTGCTGCGGGGAGTATCAGACTGCAATGATGTTTCGCTCTGAAAGGGAAGAGGTACCGGTGGACTTGGAGGTTGTACGGCCTAGAAGCAACTGCGTGAGGAGGCAGTTATGCTATGATCCTGGCCAATTTCGAAGTACACATTCATGAGAAAGTACAATGCTGTCCAATTGCAAGAAAAAAAGAATGAACTTGAGAGGAGAGAGAGGGAAAGAAGAAGAAGAAGATGAAGATGAAAGAAAGGAGAAGAAGAAGGTGTACACCAGCAAATACCAATGAGAACAGGCATGCAGACCAGCAAGCACGCACAAACACAGACTTAGAAAAGTCAGCAACAAGCAGGAAACTCAGCAATGCATACAGTCCATGGGCAAAACCCAGAAATCAGTTGTGTGTCTCAGTCCGTGTTTGGAAGGTCCTAACACTACCCTCCTCTCAAGAGTGAGGTGCCTTCCAGCGAGTAACTCATTCTAAGTCTCTGACAAATGCATCGTAAGCAAGCATAGCAAAGATATTTCGTGAATGCTCAGGAGCAATGAGTTTCGCGGAAATTTTTGGCCCAGCACCAGAGGCTATCTATCGTTCGTAAGCTTTAACTATGTGAGGTGCGCTGCGCAGCAGTTCCTTCTTTGAGATCCAATAGAGATCATGCAACGGGTGATACATGGAATGAATCTGGTATTGTCTGTTACGTCCTTCCCCAATGTGTCCTTTAATTCTATCTATCTCCTGACCGGCATTGATTGCACGAGGGATCATGTTCTCACGATATTCGAAAGATTTAGCATCACGGTATATAAATAACTTTGACGCGTGAAAGACTGGGTACGTGCACAGATGAGGAGGCACAACAATTATGTATGAAAAATTGAACTTATCATCACCAATCACGTCTAGAACTTCCCATGGACCATAATAGAGAGGGAAAAGTTTTCGTGACACCCCCTCTTCTTCCGAAAATTCTGACAGCTTGACCCAGGCGTAACTTCCCACTTTGATAGTCAAAGGTGTGCACTTCTTATTCGCATGATGGATCATGGCATGTTGTCGCTTGGTCATTGCTGCAATGGCAACTTTGAGCAAGCGATCGGATCATGGCCTGGCCTGCCAGGTGTAGGAGAGGGGATTACGAATCTTCCAATCGTAATGCGGCCTATTTGGCGTCATGCCGGTGGAATAATGGATGAAGTTGTACAACCCCTTAACGGAATACAGCTCTTCATCCCACGTTTCCTGATCCGGAATGATTAAAGCACGGAGAAGTTGAAACACGGTCTGATTCATCTCCTCAGCCAAACCGTTGGCTTTGGGATGTCGACCAAACGTCATCCTCAGTTTGAGGCCAAGCAGTTGGGCGTGAAGGCCTTCCATTTTGTACTTATGAAGAATGGGTCCCGATCACTCACAAGGTTTTTCGTGGTCTCGAACTGCAGAATGTACTTGTGGTGGAACTCACGGATCACGAGTTTAGTTGGGGCATGAGGTGGTAATGGAATCAAATTTAAAAATTTGGAAAAACGATCCACAGTCACCGTCACTTAGGAATAACCATTCTTACTTGTCTTTCGTATGTCAGTGAACTCAATACAGACGGAGTCTCCAGGACCGTCGGGAATGGGAAGAGGTTTGAGCAGCCTCATGGGCTTTTGCCGTGATGGTTTGATTTGTTGACAGAATTGACCTCAGACACAAATTTTTCAGCATATCCTTCCATATTAGGCCAGACAAATTGTTGCAACAAGTTTCCGTAGGTTTTTGCCATGCCGAAGCGTCCACTCTGTCCGTCAGCCAAATCCAAGAAGTGTGTGCGGAGAGGTTCATGGTTGGGTACACACAAATGGTCATTCTTTCCATAGTGTCGGAAAACCAGGCCTTCTCATTCGTGAAAATCAGAGTGACTTTTGGGGTCAGCCCGCAACTGCTCAAGGATTGGACCGAGGTCCGCATCCTTGGCAGTTTGCTCCACTAGCTTCTCCTTCAGTTTCTTCTGGAGATCGTAGGAGTTCACAAGGCAAGTCATATACTCGGGATGGTTAGACAATGCATCAACAACTCAATTATACAACCCTTTTTGTGTTTTAATTCAAAGTTGAAAATGTCAATCTCATGGAACCAGCGAGTCCACGTAGTAGACAAGGTAGTTTGCTCCTTGATCCATTTCAAGTTCTCATTTTCTGAGAAGACCTTGAAATTGCGTCCCGAAAGATAGTGCTTCCAATGGTTCAATGCCTCGCGCAGAGCATAGAGCTTGCGCATGTAGGTGGAAGTAGCTACCTTTTTGTTGGGCATGCGTTTGTTGTAGTACTCGAGCGACCGCAAACCATCACTATCATCTTGTTGCAGCATGACGCAAATCCCATACTAGCTCGCATCAATAGTAACTACGAATGTGAGTTGGGAGTTTGCAATGCGGAGCACATGATAACGTACCATGGCCTCTTTGAAGGCTTGAAAAGCGGTCTCTAATGTTGCATCCCAC